AACGTACACGTTCTTGATGTGTAGAAGGTAAGACATGTGTTACATCTTCCCTGATAACGTACACGTTCTTGACGTGTAGAAGGTAAGACATGTGTTACATCTTCCCTGATAACCTACACGTACTTGACGTGTAGAAGGTAAGACATGTGTTACATCTTCCCTGATAACGTACACATTCTTGACGTGTAGAAGGTAAGACATGTGTTACATCTTCCCTGGTAACGTACACGTTCTTGACGTGTAGAAGGTAAGACATGTGTTACGTCTTCCCTGATAACCTACACGTTCTTGACGTGTAGAAGGTAAGACATGTGTTACATCTTCCCTGATAACCTACACGTACTTGACGTGTAGAAGGTACAACATGTGTTACATCTTCCCTGATAACCTACACGTACACATGTAAAAAAAATCAATACTTGATAGTATATACCGAAGTTTAACACTACGTTTTATACAAGAATACTAATATTTTAAATTACATAATTAAGGTTCCTTTTGCATAAATAATTAAAATAATTGATTTATAAAATTTACCTTATTGATGAAACAGACGGTTTCAAACAGTCTGGCTGATAATTTCTTCAACTCTTCATACAGTGTAACATTATTCTTTGTTTCTGTTCAGATTTTAAGTATCACACTGGTTGTAAGAAACGTTTAGTATCACATTTTTTCCCACTGGTAAAACTAATTTTTTTGTAACGTTAAAAGTTTATCTGTTTTCAAAAATACATCTTTAAAAAGTTACATCCAAACCTTAAGCCTTGCTAATAGAAACAGCTATTTTTCATAAGAACAAGTTGAGTATTTTTCATTTGTTTGAAGTACGAAGTGGTTTCGGTCATGCGCAGTATATTTGTTGTAATTTCAGTTTATCTGTAGAATTCCAGAATCGAAGCAAAAAAGAAACTTGTTTTGACAAGGATTAAACTTCAAAAATAGAGTAATCGGGCCAACAATGTTAAAAGTTGATGGGCATAGTCGGTTTACGACTTTAACGGAAACAAATTATCTTGCTAGAAATGTCAGAAGCGGATTTTTTAACAGTATAGGTTTTAAGAAAAAAAATATACACGAGCTTCAATATCTCAAATTATTTTCCAGTCTTAACAAACTTCCCCTAAATAAATGGGTTTACTTCGTCATTTCGTTTACGTCAAACACTAAAACCGACATTCCCCCTCCCCCCTACAGCTGTGGAGAGAAAAGGATACACCATCGTTACATTTCATCATTATTACTCGCTCTTGTTCAACTGTTTTTTGTTTTTTTCATTCTGGGTTTTCATTTGTTAACTGTGCTTAAAGTTGAAACTCCTGAGGCGACAGCTGGGCACTGTTAATTCCCTACATATTAGCCCAAACATCCATTGGTTGATTCTGTCAAATTATTCTAAATTGTTATTTTAATATAAATTTTATCATTTAGATTACGGAGTTCCAGAACAGCGGGTGTTTAATTGTTTCAATATCGCGTTTTCAGGAGTGAAAAAGGAACCCAGATCTTTCATGTCAAATACTTTCATTAGCAACTCCATCATGCACTTTTAAAACCGACTTATCTGTTAAGCCTATATTATTATATAATCTGTTAAGCCTATATTATTGTATAACCTGTTAAGCCTATATTATTGTATAACCTGTTAAGCCTATATTATTATATAATCTGTTAAGCCTATATTATTATATAACCTGTTAAGCCTATATTATTATATAATCTGTTAAGCCTATATTATTATATAATCTGTTAAGCAAAAGTTCGTTTGTTTGTTATTAAGCACAAACACGCACATTAAGTATGTATGTGCTTAATAACAAACACGCACATCAAGTATGTATGTGCTTAATAACAAACACGCACATTAAGTATGTATGTGCTTAATATCAAACACGCACATTAAGTATGTATGTGCTTAATAACAAACACGCACATTAAGTATGTACTGAGTGAAAAAAAAGGTTGAGAACCACTAGGTTTTGAATCCCTGTTGTAAAGTAAAGATTTTTAAGGATAACGATAAATTTATTGTGAAGAACATTAGAATTTATTGACATTTATTAATTATTATTTAAATTTATTATTATTTATTATTAATTTATTTTATTTTTTATTTATTTATTATTAAAAACCATTCGTAAAGTAAGTTCTATCTATATCGATTTACACAGTTGTGAAATTGAAAATGTAAATTAATATTTGTTGAAATTCAATAGTTACATAAAACTGGCTTCTCATCTAAAGACACGTGTTAAAACTCCTACTTTAAAATAAGTTAATGTTTGTTGAAATTCAATAGTTACATAAAACTGGCTTCTCATCTAAAGACACGTGTTAAAATGGAGTGACTCCTACTTTAAAATAAGTTAATATTTGTTGAAATTCAATAGTTACATAAAACTGGCTTCTCATCTAAAGACACGTGTTAAAACTCCTACTTTAAAATAAGTTAATGTTTGTTGAAATTCAATAGTTACATAAAACTGGCTTCTCATCTAAAGACACGTGTTAAAACTCTTACTTTAAAATAAGTTAATGTTTTTATTTCATTTAAGTTCTCTTTAAAGTAGGTTAAAGTGCATTACAGAGTATCTCTTCTTGTGGTCAGACGGTGCATTACAGAGTATCCCTTATTATGGCCAGACGGAGCATTACAGAGTATCTCTTCTTGTGGTCAGACGGTGCATTACAGAATATCTCTTCTTGTGGTCAGACGGTATATTACAGAGTAACTCTTCTTGTGGTCAGACGGTGCATTACAGAATATCTCTTATTGTGGTCAGAGGGTGCATTACAGAGTATCCCTTTTGTGGTCAGATGGAGCGTTACAGAGTATCCCTTCTTGTGGTCAGACTGAGCATTACAGAGTATCCCTTCTTGTAGTCAGACGGTGCATTACAGAGTATCCCTTCTTGTGGTCAGACGGTGCATTACAGAATATTTCTTTTTGAAGTCAGGCGGTGCATTACGGACTATCCCTTTTTTGTGGTCAGACGGTGCATTACAGAATATCCCTTCTTGTGGTCAGATGGAGCGTTACAGAGTATCTCTTTTTGTGGTCAGACGGTGCATTACAGAGTGTCTCTTCTTGTGGTCAGACGGTGCATTACAGAGCATCCCTTCTTGTGGTCAGATGGAGCGTTATAGAGTATCCCTTCTTGTGGTCAGACTGAGCATTACAGAGTATCCCTTCTTGTGGTCAGACGGTGCATTACAGAATATTTCTTTTTGAAGTCAGACGGTGCATTACGGACTATCCCTTTTTTTGTGGTCAGACGGTGCATTACAGAATATCCCTTCTTGTGGTCAGATGGAGCGTTACAGAGTATCTCTTCTACATACCTTGTTTTAAGTTCAGCTCATATTCAACGGTCCAAGTTTGTGTTCTTTTCTTTATGTTTTCACAATTGAAAGTGTAGTAGAAGTAACAAGCTACAACCAGGTGCACGTGTTATCAATCAATACAAGCTACAACCAGGTGCACGTGTTATCAACCAATACAAGCTACAACCAGGTACATGTGTTATCAACCAATACAAGCTATAACCAGGTAGCTTGTATTGGTTGATAACACATGTACAACCAGGTGCACGTGTTATCAACCAATACAAGCTACAACCAGGTGCACGTGTTATCAATCAATACAAGCTACAACCAGGTGCACGTGTTATCAATCAATACAAGCTACAACCAGATACATGTGTTATCAACCAATACAAGCTACATCCAGGTGTATGAGTTTTAAGTAACTCAGATTTTGTAGTTTTGACTTTCTTGTTTCGATACTTTTTGTAACATTAAAACTCTCTATATTAATATGGATATCTAGGTTACGATCTCTATATTAATATGGATATCTAGGTTACGATCTCTATATTAGTATGGATATCTAGGTTACGATCTCTATATTAATATGGATTTCTAGGTTACGTAGATATCGATCCATACTTGTCTTGATAAAATTATAACATTTTTTATTATACTTGTTTGTTTCCTTTTTATTAGCTATGTTTTGGACTCCACCAATACCAAGCGGGGAGGCGCGCGTATACCCGATTCGATTTTATTACTCATCAGGACCTTTTCCTGTCTACCCTCAAATTGAAATTCTTTTAAGCAGGATTAAAATAAATTAATCTATAAGACTTTGGACATGGTCAAACACATCAATCGAAAGGGTTTAACCTCCTGAGTCCAAAACTGTAACTTTGTATCAAATCAGCTAAATGGGCTAAAAGTTTGTACTTTAAAAAATAAACAAAAAAACTCAAAGCCTTTGTGCCGCGGCTAAAAATGTTAACCCTACTTTGGCTCAGACTAACATAATTACAGTGCTTTGCCAAAGTAGGGATTGTTTCAGTACATTCTGTAACATTAAAACTTTCTATATCACTATGGTAACTAGGTTATGTATATCACGAGCCCTACTTGTCTTTATAAAATTAATTGTTTTTATTATAGTTGTAAAGAGAATGTTCTTACTAAGTTGTTTATTTGAAATATATATATATATAAACTAGTTTCAAATTAATGTTTAACGTTTAATGTTTAAAATTAATGTTTTATTGTTTGTTGAATTTCGGGGAAAGCTACACAAGGGCTAACTGTGCCAGCTGGCTTTAATTTTGAAGGAAGGCAGCTAGTCAACACCATCACCCATCGCCAACTCTTGAGCTACTACTGTCAGATTGTATAGTGAATTTAACCATCACTTTTATAGTGCACCCACAGACCACTGACCCTCAGCTCCACACTGACCAGTGGGTAACTCTGTATATTTTACAGCCTACTATTAGGCAATACATATTAGCCTGCATTACTTCCGCTTTGTTTCAGCTCAATCAATCTTTGATTTTTTGGAGGAAATCATATGACAAACAAACAAAACGTAAATGTTAACAAGGAGTGATTTTGGTTTTGTAACAGCGATTCCGATGTCTATTGCAAAGCTTAACTTGGCTGTGGCTCCATTATAATGAGTTCTGTTTTCTTCTTTTTAGTTGGCTTGGAAATAAATAGGCCTTTAATAAACTCGGCTATTGATAAGGTAAGCTGGATCTTAGAATCCTGAGGAGAACCTCTAGCTCTGATATCTGTTTCTTTGTTTTTAAGACTAATGGGCTATCTGAGCTGTGCCCACTACAGGTATTGAACCCTGATTTTTATAACCAGTGTTTTTTTTTCTTTTATCTCAAGAGTGGCCAATCAAGTAAATGGATTGGACCAATTACCTTTTTTAACACAAGTACGTCAGACAGTTTGATAGTTCCAAAGTTTTTTACTGCAGCAAAAGAGCAAAACTCCACGATCGAGATTCTTGAACATAAATCATCATCCCTCTTTGTTATATGTAGTGTAATATAGTGAATCCCTCTTTGTTATATGTAGTGTAATATAGTGAATTCCTCTTTGTTATATGTAGTGTAATATAGTGAATTCCTCTTTGTTATATGTAGTGTAATATAGTGAATTCCTCTTTGGTATATGTAGTGTAATATAGTGAATCCCTCTTTGTTATATGTAGTGTAATATAGTGAATTCATCTTTGTTATATGTAGTGTAATATAGTGAATCCCTCTTTGTTATATGTAGTGTAATATAGTGAATCCCTCTTTGTTATATGTAGCGTAATATAATGAGTTTATATTGTTATCATCCCTCTTTGTTATATGTAGTGTAATATAGTGAATCCCTTTTTGTTATATGTAGTGTCATATAGTGAATCCCTCTTTGTTATATGTAGTGTCATATAGTGAATCCCTCTTTGTTATATGTAGTGTCATATAGTGAATCCCTCTTTGTTATACGCAGTGTCATATAGTGAATCCCTCTTTGTTATATGTAGTGTCATATAGTGAATCCCTCTTTGTTATATGTAATGTAATATAGTGAGTTTATATTGTTATCATCCCTCTTTGTTATATGTAGTGTAATATAGTGAGTTTATATTGTTATCATCCCTCTTTGTTATATGTAGTGTAATATAGTGAGTTTATATTGTTATCATCCCTCTTTGTTAAATGTAGTGTCATATAGTGAATCCCTCTTTGTTATTTCGTCCGTTTCGAATACTTATGACAAAGAAACTGGCTTATGGAGGATGTTTCTCATTTCTTATGTTTCCGCATGAAGATCTCTGTAACGATGTACAGTTCAACCTTGCGTATAGAGAGAGAATAAGATAAGAACATTCAGACTACAATCAGTTCATTTAATTTTGTGTAACCAATAACTACTTGAAAGATGAGGCCGAGCGTGACCCAGTATAACTAACGTGCCGGACAGTTGGTCTGCGGTTCTGTCGTTACCACCAGAAATACAAACAACAACAAAAATGTTTCCGTTTTTGGGGTGTCAAACAAATCCCACTATTCGGTCAGGCAAGAGTAGCCTAACAGTTGGTGTGGGTGCTGTTGACTGGCAGCCTTCCTTCTATATATCAGCTCAAAATTAGAGACGACTAGTGCAGAAAATACATGAGTAGTTTGGCATGAATAATCAAAAGGACACTGATGAATTAATGAAGCTCCGACAAAACCTACAGGACACCTCTGTGCTTAAATTCACCCACGAAATA